TCTTTACCATTAACAATTTATTATTGCTAAATAATTAGATAAAATATTATCCTACAGCAATGTAGAACAACAATTCTCTGCGATAGACTGGAAATCAACATTTCAGAAGAAACGACATCATAACAGAGTTAGTCGAAAATTTCTATAAACAGCACACACGTGTCTCCTTATCGGAAACAAAGGAACATAATAAATTATCATTAACCAATAACACGTATTGTAACGTGATTGAGAACAATAGTAATTATAAGTATTAAGTAACATTTATATAATTGTCATTACGGGCTGTCGTTGAAATACATGTGTCGATATAAAAAATTTGAACATTAGTTAATTATATATAATTATAATAAATATTAAATATTATATGATATTATATTTGTTATATATTTAAAAAAAATTTTTTCTTCCTAACCATTCAGTAGTTTATATACAGTTTATTTACGTTACGCCGGACTATGCTGTAGTAAAAAAAATGACATCCCCTTACTAGTTCACAAAGCAACCTTTCAAAAAGACGTAAATAAGAAGAATAATACAAAAAGCTTCTATTTCTGCATGGACAAGGGGAGGTGGAGAGTCTTGTGCGACGTAAAACGTACGCATGACTCAGCTGAAATGCCACATTCACTAGAATTTACCGGCAAACTACTTTTCAAAATTGAATATTCCTAACAAACTATTGCAGAACACATTCAAAGTCGAATATTGTAATTAAGCTAGGCACCTTAGGATGTTATCTCGTGCAATTTTTAAAGTTGTATAGTATTAAAATTTTTTCGGTCTTATTCAAGCCCCCTTTTATTTTTTGCCACGAATTTTTCTGCCTTTCTGTTGTAAAAGAATTCATGACAGGGTGCTGCTCTTCTTTGAGGCAAAGAAAACGTCCGCCAAACGCGAAGAGAGACTTAGATTAAACGATACGTCGTTGTCCGCCCATAAATTTTTGTCAATGATATCAAACCTCGCTTCTGAAAAACATTCAGTATTTCCCCCCTTTCACTGCCGCTCCCGCCTTCTAACCCAACCAGACTCCTACTTCCAGGAGGGGGATTGGCCTAACAAGAATTATATATCTTTTCCGGGTTTTGTGGCTGGGTTCGAAATGGATGTGGAAGAAACGCCAGCTGCTTCATTACAACATTTATTTCGTTCAATGTATTAAGTCAATTAGTCAATCTAAACACAAAACCTTATGGAGTCTACAGAATAATTATTTGCGTAAACTAGTTTCATGGAAACAAGTCATTTGGCGTACATAAAGAAACGTTGATCGTACCAGTGTGACAATAGAGTAGATGGCCGACATTTTTTGAAATGAGTACAATAGAGACATTCTTTATACAGCTGTCGACATCTATTTTTAAGAACCATTTTAATGTGATACTTATATTAGTATATTTTTTTAAAAAAAAAAACACGAACACACGTATGTAAGTATAAAATTTTTGCAGGGTTTGTTTTTTTTTTTGTTTTTTTTTTTTTTTTTTCCTCTCTTTTTCTCTTTTTTTTCTCCTTGCTGCGAGCCCTCCGTATGGCAGAAACAACAGGTGTTATTGTAATCTGCTCATATATCCAGTCTCTCTCTTAACTCCCCCTATGGCCTCCCCTTTTAATGCTTTTTTTTTTTTTTTATTTTGCGTCTATACGGCAAGGTCACAAGTAATGACAACTTTCCCACAATACAACCACAAGAAAAAGAAAATCTCTAGTTCCATGTTCAGCGATGGTACTGAAAAAAGATTTCACGAGCAAATTCCTCATGGCATATTCAAGTAATTTGTTCAATGCCCGAAGCAAAATTGCGCAGACGTCTGTAACATCAATCGCTTAGAAATAAATGCTTGCGGTGTTTTGAAAGTCTGAATTCTCCATTTAGCTTAGATGCGTAAAAACCATATATCCATTCTTTTCATCAGTTTTTAGTCCAACAAAATTCATTTCCATCGAAACAACAATATACTTTTTCTGCTTGAGCATACTCGCAATAATTTAGGACACCGCCTTACATCTTTCTCTTCCGTCACAATTATTTTTGCCAACGTAATCAGCCGGAGATACATGACAAGTTAGGGCATTACCTCTCAACTCAATATCGCAACGTTCGGAAAAAAAAAAAAAAAAAACCACAACCCCCGAACGATGCTCACACTGACGTACAACTGTGCAGAATGCAGGAAGTAAGCACTACGACAAACAATTCCACATTGTTCAGCTAGTGAATGTTAAAGTTGATTTTGCAATAAAGCATACCAAATGTCTATTTTGCACGGGCGCGCTAACCGGTCGACGAATGTTAACGTTCAATTTCCTGCGCTAAGAAACCAAATGTCCTCCGCAGCAGTCCGGCGTTTTGTGTGCTCCCCTCATCAGAACACAATCTTCTTTTCGTCCGACACTTTTTTGGCGGCGCCGCGTGTCGCGATAGGGCGTGCGGCGGCGCCGCGAGAGCGGAGAGAGCGATCGCACGAGAGGCGCACCGCCGTGCCTTACTCTCTCGCCTCCCCGCCGCGCACCGTCGCCCCGAGAGCGGAATGCGACTTGCGCGCCTGAGCTGGCTGTGAGCATCTCTTCCTTCCGGCGAGACGCCACGAAAAACTCTGCAGTATTATGGTTCGCCGCGGGTCTTCCAATTCTGCTTTTGTGCTGCTGCTTTTGATCTAGCAGATCGACAATCTCATCATTTATCACCTCGAGGGGAACAGAATGGTAAGCCAAAAATAGACAACGTTTACTTGATTCTATCCGGGAGAAAAGGAGTTCTCGACGTGCGATGGATTTCCGAATAGTTTTTAGCAACATCTTCCTGGTTCGATTCAATACTGCCAAAATGTTTTCGACATCGGTTTATCTTCTTGTCAGAATTAACTTTATATCTTTTTTTTCTCTATTCTAGATACACGAGTATTAATAAATATATTTTTGTTACTAGAAGTTTCGTTTCTTCCTCGTTTAGCAGAGGCTTCACACACAACACGTGGGGATACCCTCCAAAATATTCTACTCATTCACATAGAATGCACATATAAATATAATACTAGTATAATTGTAATTCAAAATATCATAAAAGAACAAATAATGAAAATTTGACGCCAACACCCAAACATAATTTTATGGAAAACCAATACACCAAGAGATAATAGTTAGTCAAAAAAATCAAGTTCGTTAATTCTGTCCTCGCCGACGCCACCATTTTCAAATTAATTTGGGGACAGTCACATTCATCTGCAATGCAAGCAATATAAAAACGGCGCTTCTAGTGCGAAGGTGGGCTCCAGCGTTTAAGAATGGTTAACTGCATACGCGTATAGGGGGCTGTCTTGTCTCTCTCTAACAGTAATCAAAATTAACTTAACTTGAATCACACCTAAGCCGAATAGGATGTGCCAAAAAGGGCTGATGGATAAATAAATTCAGAATATTATAACTACAATTATATATATAACAATATATCACGTTACAATATCAGGATTTATATATGTATAACTCATATATAATGTATATGACCCACAGATAAATAATATTATTTAAATAACAAAATAAGCTCGAGTTCATCGTATTTTTGTTGCGCCTATCTATATTCATTTCAAGGCAACTCACGTCTCACTTTGTCAATTCTGACAGGCGAGCATATTTGGGAAATTTTTGCCGAAGAACCAGGGTGGGGTAGGGAGGCGGGAGCGCACACAATATAACAAAAAGATAGGCAAAAAAAAAGAAAAAGCGTGGGTCAACTGGCCTCTACGGCGCCGGCCCTCCCGCCCTTGCCCACCCCGGGCCCTTTTGCGTGAGCCGTCCCTGGTGCTGTTGTGCGGGCGCGTGCGGGCAGCTGCCGAGGAGTTAGATTACAAACAGAAAAAGAAAAAAAAAAATTTTTGGGGGGGGGTCAAGGGCTGGCCTTTGCAATTGTCACTGTCGCCCCGCAGTGTTCTTCTATATGGATCCTCCCAATGAACATGGGGCGAACGGCGATTTTTGTCCATTTTTGTCATCAAACCATGTTTGG